AAAAACAGAAACTTGCTGCAAGTACAAATAAAGTCATCAGTGGCGTAGCGACCCTTCTTCCATTTACTCCTGTAATTCTTCGTCTTGCTAGTTTCAATTTTCTTTTCTCACATATGCACAAATGTGAATGATCTCCCACTCCTACGCTCTTCAGTCAGATATGTCTTTATGTCAAGGAAAACTTCTTTAATGATATTCACTGAGGCCATGAAACCATTGTTTCTCATTACCAGGGATGAGCTCCACCCAGCCAGGCTACAGGTAGTGGGCATGTGGAATTCCTCCTTCCTGTTATCAGGAAGAAGGACCTCACTTCAGAGTTATTATTCCCATAGATTTTCAAAGCACCCTGAGCAATTTTTCTGGATTCCCATGAGGAAGGTTCAGGAAGGGAGATGAGTATCTGGTGAGGGGTTGGTAGTACCAGGACTTCTCAGATGGATGTCCCCCATGTTCCAGTTACTTGCTCATCCATTCTCAAGTCAAAACCCCTCCTCTTTAGCCGGGCGTTGGTGGCGCACGCCTTTAATCCCAGCACTCGGGAGGCAGAGCCAGGTGGATCTCTGTGAGTTCGAGGCCAGCCTGGGCTACCAAGTGAGCTCCAGGAAAGGCGCAAAGCTATACAGAGAAACCCTGTCTCGAAAAACCAAAAAAAAAAAAAAAAACCCTCCTCTACTTCCAAATTCTGCAGGCAGTCTCAAGATCCCAAGGAAGTCAAGAGTCTTGGGAAGGAAGGTGGAAGGTCCTGGAATGTCTGTCTATCAGATTAGGTTGCTAATTTCCAAACTGATCAGGAGACAAGAGTCTGGAACCTGGCTGAGTACTACCATGCAAATGAATACTGCCTCAAAGGGTTCTGTCCATCACCAGGCCTGCTGTCCAGGCAGCTCTAAGAGACTTCCTCACAAAGTAGACCAGAGGCCAGGTAAGTTCTGTGGACCCAGAGACTAACCCATGGTCAGAGTCTCTGGTCACACTCATCACCTGATTCCCTCTATGTGCTGGTAGGCCAGGCCAATAGTACCTCTCTGAAGAATCCAGATTCCCAAGAAAAGCACAGCTCAGTACTAGTGTGACTTCTCTCCCATATCATCTTCATAGCAACTCAACTCATGGTATCAGATATCTATTTTCAAGCCATACCAGTTTACCATGAGTCTGATGACACTACGAGGCAACCAGACTCAACCACCCAAAACAAACTCATCTTTTCTGTTATCCCGTGCAGTAGCCAAAATATTAGGAAACACAGAAGCTGGACATGGCTTCCCAGAGAAGGAAGCTTTCCAGGTGCCAGGACCTAAGCGGGCTGATGACAATGGCGCACACACGGTTTATTTCATTCAGACCACAGTGGAATTGTTTTCTGAATGGAACCTGTCCGCCTATCCTTAGTACTGTGGGGCTTCCTCAGAGTTATCTGAAGCATGATGGGGCTTCCAAAATCCTTGCTATTTAAGGTTGCCAGTGTGTGGCCTTACTGTTGCACAGATACACTAGAAATCTCTCTCCTTCTGCAATGTGTTTAGCAGGAGAGCTAAATGGCTGTCTTCTAAGTCTGGCAGATGACCTTGGGTGGTCTGGAGAAGCTGAAAATAGGGCAGTTATGTCAAAGAACTCCCTGATCAAAGCCTTGGTAAATCAACCTGACCACACAGGCCAGTGCTGCTCTGACCTGGTCACCGGAACAAGTGCCATACCTATTATCTAGGGTAGTTCCTGGCTCATCTCACCTTTTACAATTTGTGGCTCTCAAACACATTTAGGGTCCCTGGTGTCATGTTGTCCTGCCTGAGTACATGATTCTGGGCTTGACATGTAGCCGTGGAGGTTCTGCTCTGTCTTACTGGAGTCATCCAGGGCCAGCTATCTTGGCTTTCGGATGTATCATTCCAACCTTGTTATTTGAGAGATTTGGAAGGACACATCAGCCTCTCACCAGTCTAAAGGTGGAAAAAGGAGGCAGGATCTCTATTGAAAGCCTCTCTGTACCTTCCCTGAGTGGGAACCAAAGCCCAGACAGGATGCCCAAGGCTCCGCCAGTAGTGACACTCATCAGGTCGCCAGGGAAACTGCTCTTGCCTGGGCTAATTGGTTAGCACTTGACATCACTGGCATTGATTCTGCTCTTTACCAGAAGCTTGGTGTTTGAAGGAATCTTCTAGCCTTAAGAGAGCTAGCTGACTCAAGATTAAAGGCTTGCTTGAGCTATTGAATACTTGCTCATGGCAGAACATCTATAGAGGCCCATGGCAGCCCCAGAGTTTCTGTAACCCCTTTCCTTCAGGTCCCTGTTCTCAGAATGTCATCTTTGCTCTCCTGGAACTCACTGGCCGTGAGTGGGGTGCGGTACCTGAGAGGATATGTTTGTGGGGTAAGCATTTGCCAGGAGATGGGCAAAGGCAGAGAAAACAATATAAGCAAAGGTGTGGTGTGCAGGTGTCAGGATGCCCCCTGTTAGAGTGCCAGGGCTACTCTGTATAGCTGGGTCTGGCAGTAGAGCCACTAGGTGGCAGCATGTTGCCCTGGATCTGTGGGTCATGGTCAAGTTGGAAGGCTCACTCCAAAGTGGAACAAATGATTGTTTTGGAGAAGACTGTTCTGCAGTTCCCTTCAGGGCTAGTAGCTGTATGCATCATATCCACCCCTGTAAGCAGAATGGCCAGTGTCAAAAACAAAAAACAAAAAACAAGCAAACAAACAAACAAACAAAAACCTCCAGCATGAGTGCTGGACCCCATGCAAACACTGGATGTGGAAGACCAATCACAAAAGGTATGGAAGTACAAGGGGCTAGCTGGAGAGAAGGGATTCAGCCCGAGCAGAGGAGGGGGATGGGGAGGGCAGTGTGTCGATGTAACCAACCGTCTTATTAAATAAGAAACACAGAACCAATGCAAAGAAGAAAGCCAAGAGATCAGAGCTAAGAGCCTTACCCTTCAGCTAGCCTCTTCAGCCAAGAGACCTCTCCGAAAGAGGCCTACTTCCTGTGTGGTTATCTTTATATAGTCTTTCTGTTCTGCCTTCTCATTGGCTGTAAACCCAAACACATGACTGCCTTGTCACTGCCTGTATGTACAGACCTCCAGGTCTTCTATGGTATTGAGATTAAAGGCGTGTGTCTCCAATGCTGGCTGTATCCCTGAACACACAGAGACTTACCTAGCTCTGCCTACCAAGTGCTGGGATTATAAGCGTACGCCACCACTGCCCTGCTTTCCTATGGCTTGCTAATAGCTCTGACCCCCAGGCAATTTTATTTATTAACATACAAATAAAATCACATTTCAGTACAAATAAAGTACCACCATACTTCATGTTGTCTGTAACCACAGATGATTGTGTCTAGCTCCTTTCTTTCCATCATCAGCTTCTGCAGTCTTTGAAGTTTCTAGACTGCCTCTTGATGGCTTCACTGGTCTTTCTATGAAGTTTCTAGACTATAGCTTGAGGGCCTCACTAGTCTTTCTATGATGTTTCTAGACTGTAGCTTGAGGGCCTCACTGGTTCTTGAGAAGCAGCTTCTGTGTTATTCTTAGGCATGGATTTTACTCTTCCCTTGCTGGATCACACCTGAGCCACCTTCTCTGGTTTCAAAGTTAGCCATTTTGAGTGTTTGCCTAGCCACAAGACTGGATGGATGGATGGATGGATGCATGGATGGGCTCTCAGCTGTCATTTGATATCCCAGGACCCTTCAGTTTCCAGTTGGAAAGAAGCTCCCCTTATTCAGTTCTTCACTGACCTCTCCCCACGCTTTATGAAACGGTTTAAGCTTATTCAGAGAAGTTGAATGAGCTGTTCAGTGATCCCTGCATACCCATAACATCGACAGTTAACTTCTGCATGGGTAATAATATTTTGAGAAGTAGTTACAATGTATGACACTGTATCAAAACTATGTAGAGAAGATCATACATAATTATGTTCATGTAATGTAAAAAGTAGCTCTGTATGATCTCGTTCTTCTATCCTTCATGTCTTCCCAAGAATTGAGGAACATATCAGCACAAAAGCGTAGTGATATTTAGTTGTACCTCTGAAACAAATAGCTGTATCAGCAGGTCAGTTTATAGTTACCCCACATATTTAATACTCTGAGACTTCTTTTTTCTAATAAATGGGTATTAAAATATCCCCTATGTACACCTACCCATTTTCCTTTATGTCATTCCCATACTCTCTACCTTTCTGAATCATTTCTATGACTCCACTATTCCTTATGTCTTAGCACTCATAAAATGAATAAAACCTCGATATACCCACTCTTCCTTTGTTTATATTTCATTCATTTCTGCTTGGATTTTTATTATTTCTTGCCACCTACTGAACCTGGGTTTGATTTGAGATATACAAATAACTGTCACTTAATGCCTTATAAATTCATAAATGTTTCATAACTGATTTTCTTTTGAGTAGAGGGACACTTGGTTCCTTCATTGTCAAAGAAGCACTCAGCCAAGGCTTTCATTTTATAATGCAATGCTCTTACCTTTCTTCTCCACATGTACTGTGCTTTTCTCCTGTTGCATATTTACCAAAGTAAACACGTGCAGAACCCTTAGGCTGAGGCCGCTTAAACATATGCTGTAAAAGAATAGTACCAAAGACTAGCTAGATAAAAATGTTCTAATCAGTTTCCCAGAAAACCTCACAATCCTTTTTTAATATTAATTACATAGAAAATAAAAGAAACATCAGTCTCTGTGGGTCCCTATGAGCCTTGTGGCCGTGTTTTCTTGGTGTCCTCGACCCTTCTGGCTCTTATAATCCTTCCTCCCCATCTTCTGCAGGATTCTCCAAGCTCTGCCCAGTGTTTGGCTGTGGGTTTCTACATCTGCTCCCAATAGTTGCTGGATGAACCCTCTCTGATGACCACTGGGCTACGGTCCAGTCTATGAGTGTAGCAGAACACCAATAGGAATCATTTCATTGACTGCTTTTTTTCTTTCTTTCTTTCTTTCTTTCTTTTTTTTTCTTTTTTTTTTTTTTTTGGCCAGTCTTGTTTGGTTCTATCGACAATCCACCGAGCCTGTGTGGGTCTGAGGTAGGTTCTCTGCATATATGTTATGAATGTGTAGGTTGGTGTTCTTGTGGGACCCCTGGCAGTGGGAGTCGGGTATCTCTGACTCTCTTGCCTGCTTTTAGGACCCTTTTCCTCCCACTAGGTTGCCTCTTCCTGCCTTGATAAGAGAGGAGGGGCTTAGTCTTATTGTAACTTGTTATGCTGTGTTAGGTTGATATCCCTGGAATACTGGCTCTTTTCTGAAAGGAAACAGAGGAGTAGAAGATCTAGGGGAGAGGGAAGGTAGTGGGGGAGGGACTGGGAGAAGTGGAGGGAGGGGAAATTGCAGTTGGGATGTAATAAATAAAAAATAAATAAAAAGAAAATAAACATGAAATCAAAACCAAGAGATTTGAAAAAAAATCAAACATCTTTCATCATTAATATCTAACTTTTATCCTCATTGAGTCTCTGTGTAAATAAGATCGTGAAGTCCAGATGAGATATATTTGTAGATGAAAGACTAGCCCATGCACATATTAAATGAAGAACTGATTTCAAAATTCATAAATGTTATTTTCATTTCACAGAAAACAGATTTTTTTTACAAATATTAATTTTAGAAAATACTTATAAAATAATAATTATTTAGAAAATATGCAATGACAGATATACTTATTGTCCAAAGTAGAAAAATGAAAAGAGGTTTCAAGATACATGCAATTTTTCAATGCAAACTTTGTAGCAGCTGCTACAGATCAGATGAATTCTAAAGAAATCTGGTAGCACAAACTGATAGATTTTTGTGGATTTTTTTAGAGATATGTTTAATGAAGATATTCTAACATTAAACAACACAGACAGGCAGGTTATTATCAATTCAGAGAGAACTTTAAATACCCATAGCAGGGATTAATAAGGATGGAATTTTGCAGACATCTCTAATTAAATGTGTGTACTACAACAGAATTTTGCTTGCAGATTTTATTGTGCATACGAAGTGGGAAAACAATGACTGTATTGACATCTCTGTTTCTTCCAACTTTCTTGCAAATCCATATTGCTAAGCCTCCAATGGGAAACATGTTATCACTGTACTTTTTCCTGTTTGTCATCCTGATAGAATTCTATGCGTATCTCTATCTCTCTCCTTTAGTTGGCAGCTTCATGTTCACATTCTTGTCCATATTCACAAGGATTTATTTCAGTACAAATTTCCCATCTACTACTCCACTACAAATATAAACTCTCTCCTTATGGAACATGTTACTTGTTTTGCTCTTAAACTCCAGTGTATGCCTTCATCTGCCATGTTCATTGTTTTCCAGAACAGCATCTACTTAATACTGAATATCATTATAAATAATAATATTATATAATAATATTAAAATGTCTTCAGGCAGGCTTCAGATTTCAGTTTCAATTCCAGTAGCCCCGATCTTTAAAAGGTTTCTACAGATTAGAAGCTCATATAGGACCGTACATTTATATTCACATTCTAGGTCGTGCCTACTTCTGATATAGTGCAATGTCAATAAAGTCAGGGTGTTTATAATATTTGCTGATTTATTTGTTTAAATAAAGACATGTCAGGAATTTGATTTTTGGATAACAAATTTCATATTCTGAATGTTGTTCTCTCTATAGGAGATGGGGTTGTTTGTACATCCTATTCTCTACCATGACAGAGATACTGAAGACAAGTAGAGAGCCTAATTAAGAATTGAAACTTCAAGCTTTGCAATACTAACAGATAACAGGAAAACATAAATCATGTGCCGTTAGGAATGAAGACTCTTTAGCTGGAATCTAACTCAGGAAAGAAACTGCTCTTCTGTTCATACTTTCAATTGCTATTCATAATTATTAAAATTAACCAGTCTTTTGAATATGTATGGCTATTATAGGTTTCACAGCTATGTAAAAGGAGGCCAAAACTAAATACTAAATCATGATCTAATGATTCTATAAGGGGGATAAAAAAGAAAACTTCATGTGACCTATGGGTATCATTTATCAATCAAAACAATCTTTAAGAAAAATTTAAATCATAATAATCACCTTTTGTTGTGATTTTTTCATCATTACCATGACTTTTTTGTTCTTCCTCTTACATCTGTTGTACACTGGTTCTTGTGGTGAGTCCATAAAATTAGTTGAAGCTAGAAAAATAGAGGAATTTGAATCTTTAGAACACCTGCCTACAGCATCCACATGTCAAGCAAAGAGGGTCATTATTGGAACATAAATGGAAGGGACATACCCCTGTAATCTCAGCACTCAGGAGGCTGAGGCAGAAGGAGCATCCATTCTAGGCCACACTGCAAGAATCTGTGTTAGAAAACCCAGGGGACGGTTTTGTCATTGATCACAAAGTGGGTGAACCTGGAATACATTTTGCTAAGGAAAATAGGCACATAAGAAAAATATTGCAAACCTGATTAATATTAGATGCATATGTAAAAATGAACACAGAATGGGGAGATCTAGATAAGCAGGTAGAAGAAAGAAGTCTGAGATCAAATATTCATAATGATGATTAGTAAATTATAGTGAGTTACCAATGCTTTTGTCTCCTAGGGCAAATGGTACATTGAGATGATGGGCATATTCCATCATCAACACATTTTACCGTGCATCTTACCACACATGTCAGGGTGAATGTGTAGTCAAATATATACAAGAAAATTAAAGAAGAAAATAATCTTTGTATCTCAGAGACATGTATAGCTTGTAATGTTTTCTTCAGGTTCCTATATGTGATTCCAAGATGGTAACAAGTCTTTAGACAGTTGTTGCTGTACATAAAGGTTCAATGCAAGGAGATCGAAGATCTCGGGATAGATGGTCATTTTTCTTCTATCTCCCTGTCTGTCCACCTTATCTCTCCCTAGTTCTGATCCTCTTTCTCCTTTAGTCAGGTGATACTTCACAAATCATGGGAATCTGAAAATGGAGATTTGCACAAAGAAATGAAATGTGTTCAATTGTCTTTCACTCTGGGACCAACAACTACAAGCTCCAAGGCCTGAGCCAGCCTGCATCATCTGTAGCCTCTTTTGTCTTTGGTGGGCTACTCTGACTGGGAAGAGTACTTCATGCAGAAGATCATCTCCCTTTGCCCAGAATCATGAAGATGGACAGAGGAGCAATCAGGTGGACATGTCTTAGCACCAGTGTGTTAATTCTCTGTTCAGGGGTTCACAGGAGCTTTCAGTCCCCAGATGTCTGTGAGCATCCTTTTAGCTCAAGCTCTGCTCTCTGTAGGACACATTTGAAGTCCAGCACTGAGCCAAATAATTTTGTGGGTGGGATTCTATGTGGACAAGCATATGGTAGTTTGTATACCTTTTGTGCTAGATAGAATCCTCTTGACCAGAGTTCATGCACACAGCTGCCTGGACATAGGCTGGGCTCTCTACTGTGGCTGTCTGCATCCACATCAGATGACAGCTTCCAGGGAGCCCAGCCGCTCCATCAACACTTAAAAGTAGAGATATATGGGAAAGGGACTTTGGATGGCATTGAAATACATGGAATTATCTTCACCCTGCTGTAGGATGGTTCCCTAAACTGACTTTCCCTGAGTGACCTTTTCTCTCACCAGCCCTTCTCCACCATCCTTGCTTCACCTCCAGTCTCCATTTTCTGTTATCTGTCACATTCCTCAGAAAGAAGATGCTGTGGGAATTGTCTTCTCAGGTGATAGGTATGTTAAGTCACCACCCCCAAAATATGTATATTTGAAAAGGATATTAAAAGTGTCCAGAGAAAACGCAGACCTGCATGCAGCCACACTTACCTATCTCTTTCCAGCACTGTCTCCACTGTTTGCCTGATTCACTGACAAGGGTCTGTTCTTGGGCAACACTGCCTCTTTGGGGCCAGAAGGCAGCGGCATAACCTGTGCAAGCAATTTGCAATTTGATTCTTTAGGCCTTTTGCTTTTTTAGAGAGGCCGCCACACCTTGGGGCTGGCCGTTGAGTTGTTCCTGGGGTGCTGTCTGCTGGGGGTTGTGAGATGAACTGCTGCCTGTGTCTTGTGTGCTCATGTTCTTACCCTGAACTTCCTTCCTGGAGAAAGAGGTGTTGTACCCTTGGAGTATGTGTTACTCTTTGGGTGGTAAGCACCAGCTCTGGTCACATTCTGGGGTGGTTTGATGGAAGAGGTTTCTGATAATGAACTCTCTAAAGATGGGCAGGTCCATAACACATCCTTAGGCATGACGGCGCTGTCCATCTCCATCCAGCTGCTGCTCACGCAGTGAGGCCTTCTGACTGCACTAGGGTATGTTTGTTAGAGTGTGGTGCAGGCTGCCTCTTCTCTGGCAGCACTGAGTTGCAGATATGCTGTGCATTGTGTCACCCTTCTCGTCATGAGGGAAACTTGCCTTCAGTGGGCAAGGTGAGGGAGGGATGGGCAGGAAAACGGGGTCTCCCCAGGCTGAGAAGGAAGGTGGATGTGCAGAGGTGATGGTGCCACCCTGCTTCCAAGTCTTAACATGTTTGTCATTTTGTCCTCTCCAGGGTGACCACTGCTGAACAGTTAAATACTGTCTCCTCCTGTTTTTCTGTCATGAAGAGTCTTGTGTTTCTTGAAGGCTGTAGCACAGACATATTTGTAAATTTATGTAGGGTTCCAGTTGGTTGGGAATTTGTTTGTTGAAGAACCTAGGGAAGATTGATCACCATGGTTCATACACAAGTGTCATATTATGTGGCCTATTTGGACCACTGTCCAGGGTCAATGACTAGCCACTGGTTGTTCATGTCATGAAGTTCTAGAGAAAGTTGAGAAGGAATGATACATTTTTTAAATATTTACTACTTACACATGCATTTTCCTTTTTTTGAAGGGAGACAAGACATAGTAACTATAAAATACAGCAGTACCACCAGGCCCCAGATGTCCACATCAAGTCCATCATACACCATTCCTAAAGAGCTCAGGTGTACAACATGCAATGGTACCACAGAAGGCCTTCAACTTCTCCCCAGGGGTCAGTTTGATACCCAGGCAAAAATCACTAATTTTATGTCCCCTTTCATGTCTACTAAGATATTTTCTGGTTTGATGTATCTATGTGTATTTCCTTTACCATAGCAGTAATGGAGGGCCCACACTACCTGCTTTGATAGTTTATGAGTCTATAGGCTTCGTCCTTCTGCAGATACCCAAACTGTGTGACATGGTTCATTTGCTGTGGCACTCTGCATTGATGCCATGACTCTCTGTAACATGGCTCACCTACTGTGGCATGTTCCATGAAGATATAGGTGTTGCGTGAGGTCAGTGGTATGGCAGAGTATGACGTTATTTGGGTGATCCAAAGATTTCATTATCTCAACCTCAGATATGGTAAGGCAGGTTTTCTTCTTTCCTATTTCAGGGTTTTCATTGCTGACAACTTTTGTTGACCTGTGCAGATCTTGTCTGCTGAACCTGGGGTCTGAGGACCTGACACAATGGGGCAGATTACAGTCTAATGCTGTAGACAATCTTACTTCAGTTTCAGTGTACTTTATTCTATTTATTTATTTATTTATTTATTTGTTTGTTTGTTTATTTTTGGTTTTTTGAGACAGGGTCTGTCTGTGTAGCTTTGGAGCCTGTTCTGGAACATGCTCTGTAAACCAGGCTGACCTCAAACTCACAGAGAACTGCCTTGCTCTGCCTCCCAAGTGCTGGGATTAAAGGCGTGTGCCACCAACGCCCAGCCAGTGTACTTTTATACATGAATGTGAGAAAGAAAGCAATGACCTAAGGAAGGTTGAGTTCAGAAAAACATGTAAATAAACACCAGTAACCACACATTAAATATTAATAGAGCAGCCCTATCCCAGATCTTCCTCAGGACAGACCAATTTAAACACAATGCCCGGCACATACTAGATTATATCTGGGGAAGCACAAAAGCAAGATAGAAGGCCATACTCAGATTCAGAGTCCACTGAGGACAGCACTCAGCATAGCCTTTCACCAGACTGGGTTCTATGTCTCTGTTCTGACATCAAACAGGAATAAACATGTCTTATAAACTGGATGTAAACGTTTAACATAGGAGGTGCAAAATCACACCCAAGAGCAATCCAGGGAACAAAATGCACCTGAGGTAAAAGGCCCTTTGCCTTTTTTTCCTACAGTCTCTCTCACAGTCCCAAAGGCATTGTTCACCATGGGTTCCTTCAACCATGTTCCAACACACTGCAACCTGTCTCTCTGTGAGGAGGGACCAGGCCAATTTCACCCCTCCTGAGGCACTTTGGCCAGGCACTTTGCCCAAGCAAGTGTTGTGATAACAGTGATAATGGTTTTCCAGGGTGTGCTTGTTAGAGCAGCTGACCTGTGAGGTCCTCCTCCACTGCCACCCCTCCCCTTGGAGAAATGTTTAGTAGCAGTACCAGCTAAAGAAGGCAGGTAAAGAAAATTAACTCAGATCTAGGAGAGTTTACTTCTATAAAGCCTTACATTAAAATCAGAGATACCTCAAATAAACAACATAGTGATGTACTTGATGCTCATATAAAAACAAATCAAACCCAGAGACAGTAGATAGAAGTAATAAGGATCAGAACTGACATCCACAAGAGCACAATGATCAGTGGAACAAGGAGTTTGTTAATTAAAGGATAGGAAATACTGGCACACTTGTGGCAAAAATAAAAAGCAAGGTAAGACATAAGTTTAATAAACTTAGACAGAGAAGAATGTGATAGGACCGAGGTGTCACCGAAGCCCAGATCAGAAGGGAATGTTTTGAAAATTTATACTCCACTATCTGGAAGCTTTTCAAGAGATGGATAACTTTCTAGACATATATGACATACTAAAATTAAATATAAAGATATGGAATACATAAGCAGATAAGTGACAGCAAACAAGACTGAAATAATAAAATAAAAAAAAAAGATCTCACAAGAAAGAAAACCCAAGCTCAGACAGAGTCACTGATGGGCTTCATCAGTGCTTGAGAGAGTTAACACCAATGGTTGTCAAAGTATACATAGTATAAAAAGAGCAGGGGGCTTCCAGATTCATCTTGTGAGGCCAGGATGGCCCCCATAGTAAAACTGAATAAAGACACAATAATGGTAAAGAAACAAAAACCAAGCTGGTCTCCTTGATGAACATATGTGGGAAAATTCTTAATAAGAGTGTTTATTTTGGGGCTGGGGAGATGCCCCAGTCAATGAGGTGCCCACTCAGCAAGCACAAAGACCTGAGTTCAAATCCCCAGTATTCAAAACCAGGTGGAGATGCTTGTGTCTGTAAGACCAGTACCTGGGGTAAAATTTTTGTCTCCTGTTCTTATCACCCATGCTCCAGGAGACCCCAATAATCTCACTGATTCACCATTTTGGTAGAATCATAAGTTTGATCTGTTGTCAGTCCCTTGTCTGTGGTGGGTAGACATTTCTTCATACCTTACCAGGCTTCCCAGGAAAACTCACGCAACATCCATGACACCCAAGCAGGGACCTGACAGAGTATAGATGAAATTGAGAGACGTTATTTAATGGTCCTGGTTAGTAAGGCATGAAGCTAAGGCTGAATAGTCTGAGGATGGAGCACCCTCAGAAGAAATTCTGGAATGACTTCCCTTCTCCGTGTAGTATGTGATAGTGCCTTTCTGTCAGAAGTTGTATAAGCCTTGTTAAGGGGTGTGAGACATGTGACTGAGAGTGTCCCAACGATGGACTGTCCCTAAGGGGAATCAAAGTATGGAAGTCTGTGTGTGGTGTGGACTGCATACCTGCTTGATAAGTAGAGCACACTATGTGAGTACAAAGATGGCCTGAGAACAGTTGAAGTTTTAGAACAAATGTTGTAGCTCCTGAAAGTACCACATACTGGACAAGACTGCTAGCAATCTGGGACTTGTGACTGGGCTGAGTGGGCAAAAGTATTGATCCTGAAACCTGGCAGTCTTTAGTTCAATCCCCAGAATCCACATAGAGGTGGAAGGAGAGAACCAGTCCATAACGTGATTTTTACATGCACAACATGACACATGCACACCTCATACCCATCACACATTCAGATGACCGTGTAAGTCCAACCTGGGAATGCGTTACAGGTTTAAAACAGCACCTAAAAGGCTGTAGGCGTGCCTAAATAAACAACAAAGAGAGCTCAGTCCACACAAGATGTCAGGGCTAGATAAAGCTATAAAATTCTTTTTTTTTTTTTTTGGTTTTTCGAGACAGGGTTTCTCTGTGTAGCTTTGCGCCTTTCCTGGAGCTCACTTGGTAGCCCAGGCTGGCCTCGAACTCACAGCGATCCGCCTGGCTCTGCCTCCCGAGTGCTGGGATTAAAGGCGTGCGCCACCATTGCCCGGCAAGGCTATAAAATTCTTGGAAGCATTATGCTCCATTAGTACACACATTACCTGACAAAGTTATTTAGAAACATTGAATGCAAGCCTGTGCCTGTAAATGTAAGAGAGCTGGAGGGATACTGGTGGATTTTCACATGCTGCCTTACCCAAGTTGCCCATTCTCTGAATAATTTGATAAATAGGATGCCATGTGGTGTTCTTTTTAACTAAATCTCAGACATTCACTTTTACCCATAAAGACTCAAGAGCCAGATGCTGGGGTGAAAGCCTGCTAGCTCAGAGAGGTGGAGCAAGCACCCGGCTGACCCTCCTCCTCTGCCATCATCCCAGAGAAAAGGCTTTTCTCCTGTGCCATCTCAAACAAATCTCAAACTCAATGTCCCTCCCTTCTATTTCCTGTGAGTCTCTCTATCCATCCTTCTGACTTCCTCTTACTTTGTTTTTTCCTGTCAATCAGATGCTTGCTTGCCACTTAACCTATGGTTAACCTTATTTAATCCTGTTTACAATAAGCAGAAAGCTCTTGGATTAAAGGTGTGTGCTAGGGCTGAGCCACACCACAGCTAGAAACAGGTTTTGCCAGTAAATAATGCAATTTCAGGGTTCACTGTGTGCTCAAATATCCTGCACCAATGTGGGTTTGGGATAAAGATACTTAAAAGGCTTTTTAACAGGCTAAGATCTTTGTAAGATAGGCCAACCAGCTATGTGATCTATTTGTAAGTAAATTGATTGCAACCACTCTGGGTTTGGTCCTGGATTTTGGCACTAAAACATGAGTTTTGCAACTCTGGGAAAGGTGTCCTGACTACCTAGGAGTCAGACAACACATTGAGCTGCTTAGGACAGCTCTGATGGCTGAACTGCAAGGAGACAGTTCAGCCCTGGAAGTGAAGTATCCTGGACACCTTGAGCTGCTCAGAACAACAGCTCTGCCCTGAAGGTGTCCTGGACACCTGGAGCTGTTGAGCACAGGTCTGATGACTGGAACTGCTAGAAGACAGTTCAGCCCTGGAGGGAAGTTTTTCTGACTTCTTGGAAAAGTTAGGCCTGGAACTGCTTCAGCAGGGAAGGGTATCCTGACTGTTCGGGAAAGTCAGGCTATACCTGGTGTGGTGTGGGATGGTTTCCTTGCAGGAGATAGCAATCCTGCTCCTCTCCTGGAGAGCCGTTAGAGCTAAGCTTTACTCAGGCCCCACTTAAGGGGGCTTCCTAGCAGAGCTCTGCTTCTCCCGCCTAAGAACTTGCAAAAATGTAGCAATCTCTTCTGGCTCAGGAGAAAAGTGTTACTTTTCAGCTCTCTCTTGCTCTGTCTACTGAGGGATGGCTCAGCAAGGATCTTCTGTTCAGCTCCCCTTTGCTCAATTCACTACTGGATGTCTCAGCAAGGATCTTCTGTTCAGCTCCCCCTTGCTCAATGCACTACTGGATGTCTCAGCAAGGTTCTTCTGTTCAGTTTCCCCTTGCTCAATCCACCACGGGATGTTTTAGCAAGGTTCTTCTATTCAGCTCCACTCTTGCTCAATCCACTATGGGATGTCTCAGCAAGGATCTTCTGTTCAGCTCCCCCTTGCTCAATCCACTATGGGATGTCTTAGTAAGGTTCTTCTGTTCAACTCCGCCTTGCTCAATCCACTATGGGACATCCCAGCAAGGTTCTTCTGTTCAGCTCCCCCTTGCTCAATCCACTATGGGAATCCCAGCAAGGTTCTTCTGTTCAGCTCCCCCTTGCTCAATCCACTAGAAAAGTGTTACTTTTCAGCTCCCCCCCGCCCTGCTCAGTCCACCATGGGATGTCTTAGGAAGGTTCTTCTGTTTAGCTCCCCTCTTTCAATCCACTATGGGACGTCCCACCAAGGTTCTTCTGTGCAACAGTGAATGAAGGTCTTCACCCAAAACTTGGGGGAAAAAAAAGATTTATTTGGGAAGGAGGAGTCCAAGAGAGTAGCTGCCTCTACCAGGGTGGAGAGAACAGCTCGCTTTAACTGACCTGGTTTACACAGGATGTCTTGGAGGTGGAGTCAACCAGGGGTTGACTTGGGGCCTGGGTTCTACTGTCCAGCTCTGTGATTGGTTGGTTTCATGAGTCAGTTGGCCAGGGGCAGAGATGGCTCTGTCTGACTGAGCCAAACTGTGTGTCTTTCACGGGCCTTATCTGAGTCATCTTTCCCTAGTTCTGGGCTTCAGGGTCAGGGTGGATTTCTTTAGTCAGCTCCTCTTCCCTACACTATTGCCACAGTATCTCTTCCTGATAGAAGTCACTAGAACTTCAGGAGGCTATGACTGGGGGCTATGGAAAAATTAAGCAGAAAAAAATGACTCTAATGGGGTTTTGTTCTCAGTCATGGGTATTGCTGGGTCCAGATGGCTCCCTCAGAGGAGGGGGTGAGAAAGTCCGAATTCAACAGCACAGACACCGGGAATCAGGTAAAAGGCAAACAGCAGACTCGTTTATTCACCAATGGGGAGAGCCTTATATACCCTCCTTCCAGCACCCAGGCTGGGTCCCAATCTGGTGACATTGTGTGGTTGCCCCTCATTGGCTGGGCACCATCAGGAGCTCTGGCAGCATCTGTGGCTAGGTCCTCAAGCAGACTCCAGGTTGGCTCATAAGGAAGTAAATTATGAATATGCCTTAGCAACTAGTTTGAACTGGTCGTAGCCAGCTTGTCTAGTCTCTCAACCTTGTAGGCCTTATCTTACTACACATGGGGAGGAGAAGAAGCTCTGTTTAGTGCTAGATGGTAGTTTCTAGCAACATATAAGGCATTACAACAGATGGAATCCATCAATGGCTCCATCTCAGCAACCATAAGGACAAGCTAATCCAATTAAGATTTGTAGTAAAGGGGGCTGGAGAAATCACTCAGAGGTCCTGAGTTCAATTCCCAGCAACCAAATAGTGGCTCACAACCATCTGTAATGGGATCTGATTCCCCTTTCTAATGTGCATGAAGACAGGTCACTCATATACATAAAATAATATTTTTTTAAAAAAGAATTGTAGTGAAGGACTTTTGGCAAAGCCTTTTTCCATGGCAGCACAGAATCAAACCCTACAATGGTAGTTTGCATATTTACAATAATGTGGTATGGTGTCTGGAAGTCCTGACACACTATAGGTTGCCCTGGCAGCAGTATCTGTTCAAGCCACTGAGCCATCTCCAAATAACTGAATGAACAGCTATGGCAGATAATGCATTAGAAAGGGCATCACCCATACTTGTGAATACCTGGTATATGTATGGTATGAGTAGAAGCACCAATAGGAACAGGTAGCAGTAACATACAAATGCATAATGCATAAGCATCATATGGCTGTAGAAAGAAGGAAAATGTAGCCCACGGGTCTAGTTAAGAACAGTATGTTTAGTAGTAACTCATGGGACAGTCTGTGTCGATCTGTCCTGGCAGTTGAGCTGTATTTAGAGGCCTCACTTTATGGGTGGCCCAATAGGAAAATGAAAACTGGCAAGCACTGGTTTGGCCACAGTGAGGACAACAGATGTGGGAGGAAGATATAATAGAGTTCAAGAGCAATCAGAACTTCTGGTAGTTTTCCATGGATCAGCTCACAGCCTACTGAGACCTCCTGAAAAATCAGGAGGCAGATGTCCTTACCAAAATACAGTCCATCTACTCTCAGGTGCCACTGGAGGCTGCTCATTGGGTTTGTGTAAAGTCTAGACACAAAGGGAGCCAACATGGAATCAAAAATAGTGAAAGCTACTGGCATTTCTATAAAATATCATGTGAATCCTGTTCCCAGTTGCGGGCTCAGCACATGTATGCTATAATGGGGCACATGATCAGTAAGTAAGTGGTAAAAATAGCCTCTGTAGGGCCTGTGCTTGCCAGCGAGGGACACAGGTACACCCTCACCTGTATGGATATCACCACAGTTGTTTATGCAAACAAGCAGCAGCTGAAGCCACCATCGTGTTTCGGCCAACTCAGTGGTAGGCTTGCACACCCACAGAGAACTGACAGTGACAGAGATAGCCATTTCTTAAAAACTGATGTATGGAACTGGGGTGCAGACAACCAGGTATAATGATACCCCCACCAGTTTTAAGATCCTACTGGGGTTGGGTTAACTGGAGGGAAAAAAATGGGTTATTAAAACGGCAGCTAAATGGTTTAAGTACAGGCGGTATCTTTCATGGGTCAAAAATGGCACTCCCAGATGTCATAGAATATTTAAATGAATTCTAGTGCTAGGGGTAGGCTACCTCTGTATGAGGTGTTGACCAGGGAGATTCCTGTGGCACACAAATTATAAAGGATTCTAGCACTGTTATTGGTTACATGCCAGAACTAATTGATAAGGCTCTGTTCTTGAAGACACCATATGCTTTGGTTACAGGCTACATGGAGAAACAAAGCTGGGACTGACCTGGAAGTTCCCTCCTTACTGGCTGGCCTTCATAGTGTTGAAAGGCGCTTGGGGGAGAAATGTCACCCAACATTTCTGTTCAGTTATGGACCCTGTATACTACAATCCCAGAATTTGCCTGGCATGACTGTTATGGATATAACAACAGTTTTCTGATTGGATTTAAGACCTCTTCCACCAGAAGGAATTCATGTCTGGTACTGTAAGCCAGAGCAGAAACCTGTGGCTGGAAAGTTAAAGCCCCAGTGAGGAAATAACTGTTATTGTTTTGCTAAGTGGATGTGGTAAGTCTGTCAGTCTGTCTTCTAAACATTTTTGCTTACTTACACCCATAGATCACTGTTTCTGTCAGCTACAATTGATCATGGAAGGAAACTTCCTTTTCGGAAATGATGGTGTGTGACAGAGACTCAACCACTGATGAAGATCCTGAGAATGAGTGACTATTACTGTGGCATAGTGGCTGAATACTTAATCAGAAGCACACATCAATATCACCCTCTCCAAGGCTCAGGGAACATTGCAGAAGAGGGGACGGAAAGATTGTGAGAGCCAGAGGAAGGGGTGGAATATTGTGTACCATTTGTTTGTTTGTTGTTTTTCCCAGAATTGAAATGTTTCCTCTAGAAGGGAGGTGAGAGGCTCACCCAACTCAAGAAATAAACAACTCACAAATCTGAGGAAGTTCCTGAAGCTAAAAAGATTCACAAGATCCCCTCCCCAAGGTTATAGATATAAGAAACAACTGCTGGGGGAGAGATTCTCCTAAATATGGAGGTTTGCTGTTTGCAAACCCTGTAGAGAGTTATCACCTATGAGGCATGGTCATTTCAGTGCTGTAGTTGCTTGAGTCACTCATACTCTTGCAAGTAAACCCATATTTTTGTAAATAAATCTAATAAACACATTGGTTTATCATGATGTGTCAGGGTCCAGCCTTGGCTCAGGTTCAGGTCCTGAGATGGGGAAGAGGCGTCATTGCAAGGAAGAATTCTGACCACCAGGTGAGTTGTACTCAAGTGACCCCGAATAGTTTGAGCCTCTTTATTTATACTTTAACAGAGTTTTTTTCTACCAGGCTTACATGAACAGCTTTATTATAGCTCCTATTTTTGACTCTTAAGAAATACATCATAGGGCCGGGGCGGTGGTGGCGCACGCCTTTAATCCCAGCACTTGGGAGGCAGAGCCAGGCGGATCTCTGTGAGTTCGAGCCCAGCCTGGGCCACAGATCGAGATCCAGGACAGGCACCAAAACTACACAGAAAAACCCTGCCTCAAAAAAAAAAAACCCCCAAAAAAAAAATAAAAAGAAAAAAAAAGAAATACATCATAGGGCTGGAGAGATGGCTCAGAGGTTAAGAGCACTGGCTGTTCTTCTAGAGATCCTGAGTTCAATTCCAAGCAACCACGTGGTGGCTCACAACCATCTGTAATGAGATCTGGTGCCCTCTTCTGGCTTGCAGGAATACATGCAAGCAGAACACTATAAACATAATAAATAAAAAACATAATAAATACATATTGAAAAAAAGAAAGAAAATAAGTTTAAAAAAAGAAATACATCATATTTTAAGAAATATAATCATTATAAAAACCCCCATTGTTTCCCCTTATGCTTCCCCAAATACAGTTTGCCACCTCCTACATAACCTTATTATAGATATAGAATTCAGCATTTTTGTAGGCTTAACTAAATATTGAGCCAGATAGATCCGGCTCTTGTAGCTGGCAGCTACTTGAGGTTACAAAGTTAAAAAGTGGTTGGTTACAAAGTTAAAAGTAATAGATATGGGTAAAATGCTTTAGGACAGCAATATTCAAACCCACACCATTTTTTTCATGTCTGTAAGATATGCTTTTTTTTTTTTTTTTTTTTTTTTTTTTTTTT